ATCTTTCCTGCAGTCCTGCCTGTCCGCTGGAGTCTGTTCCTATCCTGTTTGGTTGCTGAGCCAAACCAGACAGATGAACACATACAGTACCTTACTGCTGGTTTCTGGATTTTTTTTAATTTTAGAAACTAGAAGACAACAAACCAAGGTTATATCTCATAATTTTGTCAGTTTATTTAACTTACGTGCTGTCTCAAACCATCTCATTATTTAATTTCCTGCATTTATATAAGCCATAATAAATTCATCTTGCAAATTAGAAAAATATGACACAAATATAGGGTTAATTCTGGGTAGGTTAGAAGTCATTTACATTGCACAATTGGAAAATACATTTAAGAATACAATAAAAAAGTAATTACTTTGCTTGTGATGCTTATTAAAGTAATTTATTATTATTATTATTATTACTATTATTATCATCATCATCATCATCATCATCATCATCATCATCATCATCATCATCATCCTATACTATTATATTATATTATACTGGTGATGGTAACTGGTGATGGCTGAATTCTCTTTATTTGAGCAACTAAGCAGCAGCAGCACAGAAAAGCACATTAGTCCCTTCATAAAAAAGCTCATGTGTCTTTCCTCAGTCTCTCCACAGTTTCTCTCTACAGTACGTTGGCCTCACAGGAGTTAGGCTGCAGTATCTCAAGTGTAACAATGAGTTTAACAGATTTTCTAAACCAGGGGTAGAAAAAGGCGTAGATCATAGGGTTTAGACAGGAGTTAAAATATACCAGAAACATAATAATGGTGTTTGTCAGATAATCCATAATGAGGTAATAGCCAGAAAGAAAAAAACAATAATATGGACAGTAGCACATGAGAAACACAGCAACAAGGACACCAAGAGTCCTGGCTGCTTTCAACTCTGATTTCTTAGCAGTTACAGTCACTGAACGCTGCAATGTGACAGCTGCAATGTGACAGCTGCAATGTGGGAGCGCATGGCACGGGCCTGAGACACAGCCACCACAAACACTCTCATATACAAAATGATGATGGCAGTGATGGGAAGGATAAAGAATAACACAATATCAACAGCTCCATTAGAGTTAACTACACATTGTCCATAGCAGGAGTTATACCTGCCTGGTTGTTTCAGGTTATCATATAAAAGCATAAAGCTGTAGAAAACAGAATAAATCCAACACAGGAGAACAAAGATTTGAACTCTCTTTTGAGTGATTTTGGTGGGGTAGCGCAGAGGGTCACAGATAGCCACATAACGGTCGATTGATATGAGAACCATGTTTACTATTGAGACAGATAATAAAAAAAAAAACAAAACACACACCAGGTCACCCAGGAACCAGCAAGGTTCTGTTAAGAAGATTCGCATTGGCATCACAAAGAGGCCGACGAGGAAGTCAGCGACAGCCAGAGAGAGGAGGAGGAGGTTGGTGGGGGTGTGGAGCTGCCTGCAGTGACAGCATTATCACCAATACAAATAATAAGTTTTTGAAAACAAGGACAGTTCAAATTACAGCATATCTAAACAGTAAATGTTTTCAGCACTGCCTATGAACAAAAGTCTCATCAAACCACCAGGATTAAATGCATTCACTGATTGAATCTCACTATAAAAAATATTATCAGTACTAAGACATTTATCTCTACCTGAAGTGGGAGATGGAGATGATGACCAGCAGGTTGAGAAATGCAGTCAGCAGAGAGACAGAGGACAATCCCATGTAACTAAGCATCGTCTTAGAGTTAGGACGTGTGTGCTTTTTGCAAGACGTGTTGAGGAGTTGTGGAAAGCAGAGTTCAGCTTCCTCCATCATCAAATAGAGAGAGGAGGAGGAGATGGGAAGCTGCTGAACACTTGCAGCTTTCTGAGCAAAGTTCTGTGTCATACAGCTGATTTATCTTTGTCATCATTCCCGCTCCTGTTTTCCATCGTGTTTTTCTGTTTTCCCAGCTGATTTATCCCTCTATTCCCTGTTCTCCTGTGTTTTGGTCTCTCTCTTGGATATTGATCTTCCTCCTCCCTCACACTGTATTTACTAAATAGTGAAATTGCCTGTTAATATTTACTAAGGAGTTGCAGTGGGGTTTTGCAGTGGAGAAAAACAAGAAAAGTAGTACCATAGAAATTTGCATGTTTGGTCTCATGCAGGATAGATTTTTTAGGGGTGTGCGATTGTGCAAAATTTTTAAATAATTCATTTAATTAAAAACATTGGATGTGATTTTTGCTTTCCTCTGTTAATTACCTAAAGAGCCTATGGCATGCTTTTCCTTGTTTTTGGACTTGTCTACAATGTTATGACAGGGAATTATCATTTAAGACATGACCTAAAGCTCAAAAAATGAGGTGTATGTATATACTACTACTTCTATGCAGAAGTAACTCAGTTTATACACGTCTTGCAAACTCAAGCTCGGGAGACTTTTTTTTCTACCAAAATAATGAATTACATCATAGTTTAAAAATCTCCTTGAACGAACATAAAATCCCGGCTGTTGCGTGTTCAAAACAAACAAAAAAGAGAAAGACATCCACCAGTGCCATTGTAAAAGCTGAATTTTTCAACTGCGCCTGGTTTTATGGATATATTTTACCTCCTGCTGCTGCACTGTGACCAGAGGATGCGAACAAAAATACAGGGCCTAAGGTTAGTGTAGTGATGGCCATCCGACACCGAGGCCTCGATACATGATTCGAGCTCAGAAAGGGATCTTCCACAAACCACTGTTTTGAGGCTTGTAACGTTGCCGAAAAGACATGTGACTGATGACGTTCGACGCAGAAACGGCTGGCCTGACTGACTCCCGTGACTGGTTCAAACCGTTGATACAGTGTCAGGGAGCGAGATCTCAGCAGGTGCGTAGGTGTAGGAGTACTATAAAGCCACCCAACATGATGCACAACATGTGGGTTTGTTGGCATAGTAGGTGTGTGTATAGTTGCTGTCCATATTATCATTGCTGCTGGTGTGTGATCCATGGAGCCAGCTAGAAAGAGACCCCATTCTCCAATGTGTGAACACTTTCAGCTGATCAGTCCAAAGAAGGTAAGTGCCGTAATACTTCGTGGTTATGCTACTGCACCTTTATGTAACCCAGGCAACGTTGCATAGATGGATAATACTGCCAGTACGGCCAGTGCAATAGTCATCAAATATCCATGATGAATATGACGTCAACAGTAAGCAGCATTATAGATATGTATCCCACAATCTGTGTTTGCATATCACAGGTCCAGTGCTTGCTGTGTCCCCAGCAATTGACATACAGTAATAATACGTCTGCAATGCTGAGGCACCTCAAAGCCAAGCATGAGGGTGGCATGCAGGAACCTACAGATCATGGTAGGTCATACTTATTTTACACATTCATCCCCACACTGATTCATGAATGTGATATCACAGTACAGTGTGTTTGTGTCTGTCGTAGTGAACTGGAGGCATGAGCTGGATGAGGCCCTGGTTAATATGCTGGTGAAAGACTCCCAGTCCTTTTCTATTGTGGATGATCAGGGCTTCAAAAGTTTGTGGGAAAGCTAAACCCCACATACACCCTGCCATCTAGACAGGCTCTGAAGAAGATGGTGGATGACAAATATGAGGAGGAGAAGACAAAGGCCAAGGCTCAACTGCAGAGCATGGAGGGAGTGAGTCTGACATCTGATATGTGGACCTCTATTAATATGGATGCATACCTTGCAGTCACTTGCCATTATGTGCGTGACAATACAAAGCTGGCCGCAGTGGTTTTAGGTGTGCTGCCATTCCCTCATGACCACACTGCTGAAAACATTGCATCTGCTGAGAGGTCACTCATGGCGGAGTGGGGCATTGAGGGAAAGGTTAAATGCCTTGTGACCAATGCTGCAGGAAACATAACAGCCACTGCCAAAATGTTAGCCATAATGTATGTTGTATGCATTGCACATCAATCAAGGTACTGTCTGTGGTACTTTCACTGAATGTACTACTATTACAGTACTTTCACTGAAGGTACTACTACTACAGCACTTTCACTGAAGATACTGTAGCTTCACTACTTTCAAAGTACCGTTTGGAGTACTTTCAATGAAGGTACTACTACTACAGTACTTTCACTGAAGATACTGTAGCTTCACTACTTTCACTCAAAGTACCGTCTGCAGTATGGTACTGAAGGTACTATTACTACAGTACTTTCACTGAAGACAGTGTCACTGCAGTACTATCCCTGAAGATACTGCCAATGCAGTACTTTCACTCAAGGTACTGTCTGCAGTACTTTCAGTGAAGGTACTATTACTACAGTACTTTCACTGAAGATAATGTCACTGCCGAGCTTTCACTCAAGGTACTGTCTGCAGTACTTTCACTAAAGGTACTTTACTACAGTACTTTCACTAAAGGTACTTTACTACAGTACTTTCACTGATTGTACTACTAGTACAGTACTTTCACTGAAGATAGTGTCACCTCCTAGCCTTCACTCAAGGTACTGTCTGCAGTA